TGCTATTCTGAATGTGGGAATTGTCCTCGTTTAGAATATCTGCAATACTCCTTGTGCCTAAAAGGTCAGAGGAAGGACTAGGAGTTCATCATCTCTTCCTGATCTGAGGTATGGCACCCTGTTACCTGGCTAAAGACACAGTTGTGCGTTGTAATGTGTCTGATTAAAGAGAATTAAAAAAACTCAAATGGAAAATGTCCTATTTCCTGCTTGCTTTTAAAATCAAGTGTTACTGCTCTTACAAAATTAATTTCCGGGATGTGGACAGCCCACTTGAAGCTGTCCAACTTCACAAGAAAGAAAAATAGGTGTGGAAAGTTTCCTATGTTCCCTTGAGAATGGGCCATCGTGCAGGGACAGCATTAGATGAGGGGTGCTGATGTCGTCAGTACGGACATCAGCTGTCATGGATACTTTAAAAACTGATTTTTGGATTTTCAGAAGCCCACATATCTTCTGGGAACCTCTTTAAGTGGCATCTGCAATGGCATTTTGAGCAGGGCTTATACTGTTCTGGAAAAAATCTCATGTTAGATGTTGAAGTGAAAGCACATGTGATTATGATGAGGGTATCTCAGGGACCACTGTGGAATCAAGAACAGTTTTGCGATTTGTTCCTTGGAATTAGGCTGGTTTCTGTACCTCTACCTATCTCTAAGGGTTTCTGGTTTCTCTCTATCAAAAAGCTGTGTGAGAAACCTGAAATAGAAGTTGCAGACGGTTGCTATGTAGCCTTAAGGAAATAGCTGGCTTTATGCAGTGCTCTTGAAACAGCCCCTGAGACTGACTATTCCTTTTGGTGGTTTGCTGTTGAGCTGAAAACACTTCAGCTCAAGTAAAGCTAATGATCACGGGCTGGTTGCAAACCACATAGTAATGAAGGGATTTGTAGCATTTCTGTACACTATATTGAACTGTTTTCCCATCTTGATAAGATGTAATAGATGGAATTTCTCTTAGCATCAAATACTGATAGGCTGGAGATCTGTTTTGTTTCCCATTTCTGCAGAAACAAGTTGGGAAATATTTGGCTTTACAAGAAGCGTGGGCTTCTCATGGTCTGACTGGTAAACTCAATTAGTCCTATGGGATCCACAAACAAAGTAAAGGTCAGCCTGTGTTTCTGTCTGCTTGGCCCTGTTCTTTTGGCTGCAATTACGGGCCTTTGATTTACCTATTTAGACCTTAGAGGTTTTGCAATGGACTTTGAATTGAGCCCCAAAACTCAGATTTGGACTGGCATCCTGTTTGTGATTTTCCATGTTCTGTACCACCATCAGCAATGTTGCTCTAGTCCAGACCGTAAGAGTTCTCTGTAATTCTGTCTGTGGAATTTTACTGTTCATTTTGAAAATTTTTTGGGATTTTTAAAATCCATTGTCTATTGTGTTACAGTTTTTATATAGATAAGGCACAACAGAGACTCACTGAGGGAGTTGTGTTCTCTTGGGAGCTTTCAAAAAAAGGTGGAATATTTTGGGTGTGTATTTTACAATTCTTTTATACAACTTTTAGCATTAGGGTTTCTTGGAAAGGAAGAGTCTGTAGTTGTCCCAACACTGCTATCCAACAGGAATCTGTTCAAGCAGTTTCTCAGCCTTTTCAGAAAATATGGCACAACTTTCCTCTGAAAAATGTCAATTAAATGTATGAAGTTAAGGTCCATAGAGCACTTTGATGGTGTGGCAAACGCGGTTGTCTTTTCCATGTTCCTAACTGCTACAAAATTGCAAACAGTGTGCAAAACATTACTAAATGCTAGAGAGCTTTCCCAGGAGTAAAAACTAGGGAAAATCTCGAAGAGTTACCTAGTCCATCTCCTTGCTGTGTGATTGGATCAGATCTGCCAAGTGTGTAACTAGCGAGTGTTTCTCTAGCTCCTCAAAGCTTCCAGCAGAAGGAATCCCATGACCTTGTAGGCAGCGTGTACCACTGTTGAATTATACAACTGGAGAGTTATCACACCAAGAGTTTATCCCTGCAAGTTAAGTCAATTACTTACTGTCCTGGCTGGCAACAGCTACGATGAATAGTACCCTCATTTGGACATTGCTATTGTGTTGTCCTTCTGGTCTTTTAAGTAAACCCAGTTAGTTGAATCACTCTTCACAGGTGACATCTTCTAAGTCTACCAGTTGTTGGTTGCTCTCTCCGCATCCTCTCCGATTTGAATGTGCTCTTGAATCATATGGTTCCAAAGGTGACCTGGAGTGCAGGCTGAGGGTAGTGCAGAGCAGCTGGAACAATGAACTTCTGGTGCTTGCCTACAGTAGTACTGTTAACACACACTGGAATTCTATTTGCCTTTTTGTAGCAGCATCAGATTGATTTACATTCGGTGCCTGGTCTGCAAACATCCCAGATCCATTTTGATACCACCGATAATCTCCATTCTGTGCCTGTGTGTTTAATGTCTGCATACCTGTCTCTGATGGACCTCAGACCAAATTTATCAAGATAAGCACTGTAGACCCATCTCCTGTGTTGTTTACAGTTCATCCAAGTATCATGGGAAGTCTTGCAGATACCTGTTACTAAGCTTTAGTCAGAATTGACTAAATGACTTTATTAAGACATTGAATGGAATAGACCCTAGGGAAAG